CGGGGCCGTGACGCCGCCACGCGTAGCCCCGCCACGCCCCGCCGGCCGTGAAGGCGGTTTGCAACAGCGTAATGCTTGGAGAAAGCGAGCTCGGATGTTCGTGATGGAACACTGGAGACTGTTCACTGCTTTTATACAGGGTCTGATTTAACTGCAGCAAACTCGAAAACTTTTTTTTCCTCTCCCTAAGCATTTTTTTGCATTTTTTCCCTAGGAAATAGGTTGATTTTAGCTTCATAACTGACATGCTGGGGAAATTGAAGGAGCCTTTGAGAAAAAAGGCTATTTTGAGCCCTTGCATCAACATGGGAACTGAACAGCTGTACAGAAGTATGAAATGGTTGTTATTTTAATAAAGAGGTTTCCTTGTATAAGCTGTGTGGGAACTTCCAAGACACTAAAACACAGAAAATGTTAGATGACTGCTTAAACCCACAGCCCAGAACTACACAAGAGTTACCCAACGTCTCCCTTCAGCCGGTCGAAGGCACGTCTGGTAAAAATGCTTCCAATACTGACAAAGGATGGGAGATCAAAGTTTCATCTACTGCCTTGAATAGAAAAGATTTTACCGTTTAAGTAATAGGTGAATTTATCTGCTCCCTACAAATCGAGTGAGCAAGAATTAATGTGAATCTCTACAAGAAGGTAGCAGAGCAAAACCAGAGTTCAGGTACACACGCGAGCTCTGGATGCTGTGATGGGAGCCAACAGTTTTTATGGTGCTGCTGGCCGAAGAGGGGACCCGAGGCTAGCCATGGAAACTGAGGACTAGTTGTCTTGAAGAATTTAGGTCTGACTGTCCTAGCTGAAGCTGCGGTTCAATCTAGTTCATGTGTGGGTGGTTCCTCCAGATTTAGCCTTCAGAATCAACTGAAAGTTAGCCCTGAACTCCCCTGTAATGGCTGACTTCTGGAGTAAACACAGGGGCAGAACGATCCCTGTCTTTTTCAGGAATTGTTGTGTTCTGGTTTAGTAACCTCTATCCTCTGAGCAGTTGCATTATTCAATTATTTGGCATGCCTATGATATGTCAGTAGTGGATTACTAGGGATGACTTCTGTCATTGATGCGTCATTTTAAAATGGAAAGCCTAATAAATGCACGCGGTACTGGTCTCCTGCCTCTCTTCCTCTTCTGTGACAAACAAAACATCTTCATTTTCTAAGAGGGCACAGGTTAATGTGTGACAAACAGAAAACTGTTGAGGTTTATTTGGGATATTTCTAAACAACAGTGATTTTTATAATCCTACATGCTACACTCTTTTTCAGGGACATCAAAATTTAGTAAGTTGAAAGCTCTGGGCAGAATCAGTCATTATTTCTTCTGTGCTAGAGGCACTTTAGAACGGATGGCAGAGAGGTCAAGCCATTCTTAACTAATGCACTCCAGCAGCAAGCACAGTTATAATGCAGGGAGTTCAGTGTACCATGTTAAATACAGCTGAACTCTCTGAATTGAGTCATTACTCAACATCTTCTACAGTGTTTCACTTAGAAGAAGAAATTGGCAGTGGAGTCAGATGTTTCTTGGATACAATCCTATATTCTTAGCAAAAATGCAGAAAACCCTTTTTTTTCCCTGAAAGCAGCACACATAAAACATGTAGAGAATGTCTCTTTGTTTACCGCTCTATAGGTCTTTTCCAGATAGCCCTAAAAGTCCCTTAGTGATCCTCAGGACCACGCTCTTAATGGTATCGTGTCCTTTTTTCCTGCTCCTATTTACTGCCTTTAGCTCCTTGCACTGTGTGGTTTCACTTGGATCTTCTCTGGAAGAAGCAGGCATATGTGCCAGTATGTGATGGGAGGTTCCCGGTGTTTCACTTATCTGACTTCCATAAAGAAATTTAATGGCTTTTTACAACTGACTAAACAGAAGGCAGTATAACAACTTTAATGTGACTCATTACAACACAACAAATAAAGTTCTCTGCAGACAAAGCACTAAGGTAGGAAATAACAAGTTGGGAGTAATGTAACAGAACAAGGGGAAACATAAATAGAAACTAAGAATAGTGTGTACCAAGGTACCTGGAAATTGTACCAAGGTGCCTAGAAAACACATAAGTCTATCACATATTAAAGTCCCAAGCAGGAGTATGATGGTAGCCTTCCTTGGAAATTAGTCATTTATAAGTAAGTGTCATGTTCTGCAGTGATGGCAAGCCACTATCCCAAATTCCAGCTGCACTGAGGCTGCATTGATGAGAGAATAGAGAATTTCTGCATTTACTGAACATGGAAGGAGGCATAGAGGTTCCTTCCTAACAGTTACAAATTCCCATCTTTCTGAAGCAAAACCTCCTAACCGTGAGCCTTAGTGTTGTGACATCCCACGTGCACCTCAAAGCAGAGGGTGCACCTGTGTCTTAAGCAACCTCACCTCAGCAATGCTGAATAATTGGGCATCAATTCTGACAGCTATTCTGCAGGTAACATGTGTGTGTGCACTAGTGTGCACGCTTGGATGCATGCACGCTTGGATGCATGCATGCACTTTGTCCCTCATGAGCCAGAACTTGGCATTTATGGGCCTGTAATATACTCTTGTAATACCATCTTGGCTGCATCCCAAAAGAAAGGATGGAGTGACACTCAGACCATAATGGGATTGCACAGTGGGGGAGAATGACCTGCCTTCTAGCAAGCATAGTAAGCAGCGCCCACTTGGTTTGTGTGAAGGTGTGTAATGACACAGATCCCAGAGCCCCACCAGTCTGCCTCTCTGTACAACATCATGAACTGGCTGGAATGAAATAAGCCTTTCCCTGAGGGACAGAATGCTCAAGACAACCAAGGAATGCACTTGGAAATCCTTTACTGGTATGTACTTCTTAGTTTGCTTTGTTCCCTGTAGTATGCCTTTCAGAGTTAACAGACATCAGTGACTTAAAGCTACAAATCTGCTTAGAGGAAGGGAAGGAGGTTAGTGTAGACAGCAGGGCTTCTGAATGAACAGTTTAAATTGCAGATTGTTATACTCAATCCACCTCCCTTCAGAAACCTCAGGAAAAAAACTAGTTTATCATAAAATGATGCTTGGCATCTAGGACTCAGTGATGCAGAAATGACAAGGCCACTTTGATTTAGCTGGAGAGGAAACATGAGAGGTCGTGCCATGTGCAAATAAAACCCTTTGATCCTGACATCAATCTCTTAATTAGGAAGCTGTCAGGAAGAAGCAGTTTTGTTAACACATGTCTATCTGGACAGACCTATTGCTCTGAACAACAGCAGGATTAAATTCACCAGGGATTATCGAATTTTAGTTTGTTGCATTTCTCAGTGCATTATTCATCAGCGTAGACCATACTACGAATTACCCCTAATTACCACTACAAATGTGTCTGTGCCCCGCACAGTCCGTCACCAAACTCTGTCTTCAGCAGTAAACAGAGTTACTTACTCCTGGCAAGCTCCTGTCTTTCCCCATTCACACAGCTCAGTGACTTCCTAGGGTGACTGAGCTCCCCCTGTTCACTCACAGGCACTTCTCTGAAGAAGCCTTTAGCAAGCCACCTGCTCATCTTTTATGAGGTACATGTGCTTTGCAAAGCATCTAGGCTGCTTCTGCTTGGTATATCAAGTCTCTACTCCTTCAGCTTATGTTTTCTGGCTCTTGAGTATGTTTAGACTTAACTGTGGAAACCCGTCTCCCTTCCAATATGTATTTCAGCCACACGATGAGTTGTGCTTTTCTTTCAGACTACTTTGAGTTCCCTATGTTTCCATCTCATACAGTTTATATACTGTACTAGGAGAGAAATACTGTACTTCTCTCTGAAATAGCACCCCCACTGGGTCTTGGTCACAAGTGTTAAAAATGTATATATTTTTAGAATGAGATTCTCTGCCCCAAAACACGCTCCATTTGGAATTTCAGCAGGTATGTTTCATTTGCTGAAGAAATATGCATGGCACTTCTTTCCCTGCAGTCTAATCACACAAAAAACTTTGGTTTTAGATATCTGCCTTGGTAGTATAAAGGTATGTACTTCGATTTGTTTGCCAATATTTCACCTTCATCTAATAAAATCAGTACTTGAAATTTTGTTCATCACATACAGCATATAGACTTCTAAAAATGGTTGTATCAGAAATAAAAGTCTGCTAAAGAACTACTT